TTCGAGAAAACGCGTTTAAAGATTAAATGATCGTTTTACTATATACTAAATGTATACTCTTTAAATGGCTGTAACTCTATTTAAGATATGGATTTAAAATTTTGGTATGTTACTTTTAAAGGTATAACCTATTGTAATATAAAAATTGAAAATTCGATTTTTTGAAAATTTTACACTAGTTGTGCCCCTTAATAGAATAAATCACCGTTTCGTTTGCGAATTCATACCGCTTTTTTCAACTGAATAGCTCAAATTCTTTAGATGTTCATTGTAGACATCCTTCGGTTGGTGATAAAGTAGACATTTCTTTTTTCGTCTTTGAGTGTAAAATCTTCAGTCCATCATTCAGAAAATATCACAGAAAAATATCCATTCGGGTTAAAATTCGTTCATTTAAGTCTCATTGCACATCAAATATTTACTAATTAATAATTATGAGTCTTTGAGTGTAAAATTTTTCATTCAGAAAATATCACAAAAAAATATCCATTTGTATTAAAGTTCGTTCATTTATTTCTCATAGCTCATCAAAAATTTACTAATTAATAATTATGGCTTACACTTTTCTAGATTGTGATCGTAATAGGAAGTGCAGAAAGTAGTTTCAAAGAAAGTTTATGTCCTTAATATAGAAGAACCCGTATGTAATTCACCGAGACAGACAAACAGAACTGTAAATGAAATTACCCAAGAACGAACAGGGGAGTGCTCTATTCGACGCCAGTTTTCCGTGTTTGTTATGGTATTTATATGATATTTAGAAAGATTTTATATGAGATTTAGAATTTTTTTATAGAAGTCATAATAATCAATAATCATTCTTTTATTTCATCAATGCACTGAAATTTTTTTCAAAAAAATGCTTAATATGGTTTATAAACTTCTTTAAGAAATGTAGGCTATAGATATATCATTGTAACGAATAATACTTTTATTTAATTATAATTAAAGTAATTTTTTACATTCAATTTAGAACAACTAAACAGAGAATTATTATTTATAATTGTTATATTATGTTTATAAATCGTTATTTATAAATCACTGGATTTAAACAATAATGTTCTGCTTATAATTTAATTTGTTATCAATATCGTTTTAACATTATTTGCATTATCTCATTGTTTAAATAATTACATAACAAAAATTTATCTTTATACAAGAAGTCACATGTGTTTATCAATTTTTGCTTTTATCATCTGTTGGACTATGCATATTTCATCAGCAATTTGCACTATCATGCAAATATCAGCAATTTGCACTATCATCATACAAAGAGCATTTGCATAACAAAAATTAGTAAAATGAATAAAATAGTTTATAATAATCAAAAGTTTATTATTTATAATAATCAAAAATTGAATTAAACACATCTTTATCTAGTGATCAATAGTAATCAATAACTTAAATAATTTTATGTAATGCGAAATAACAAACAAAGCGATCTATCTGTATAGAAGTAACAATTATCATCAAAACAGTTAGAACAAAAAACATAAAAGCAAAACAGGTCTAAAGATCATGTTAATGTAGGATGCTGTCTAAATGCAATATTGGAAACTTGTTCCAACAAACATACTTTGTCTTTCTTCCTTTGGACCCATCTTAGAACCAGTATAGCTTAGCTGTTATCACATCTGTCACTACCGCACCCCTGGCACAACCGTAAAAATAAATATTATATTTTACAAAAATGCAAATTATCATACAAAGAGCATTTACGTCGGCGTAAAATAAATCAAATAGTTCATAATAGTCAAAAATTTAAAATTTATAATAATAAAAATTCACTTATATACATCTTGATCAATAGTAATCAATAATTTAATGTAACAAAGTGAATTATCTGTATACAAGTCACAATTATCATCAAAACAGTTAGAACAAAAAACCTAGAAGCAATGTGGTCTAAACATTATGCAGGATGCTGAGTAAATGCAATAATGGAAACTTGTTCCAACAAACATACTTCACCTTTTTTTCTTTGGACTCATCTTAAAACCAGTATAATACTCATTTGGACTCATCTTAAATACCGTACTCTGGCACAACCGTACCCAGTCTCCCCTACTAATTATATTGTTGAAATTGGTTGAAATATCAGTAAAATATATTTACATATTTTCTGCAGATATTATATAGATTTACTCTAAATCTTAGTAGATGAAAGGAGATATTATATTATATAGAAATCATTATTATATTTTCAAAATACAAAAATATTTTTTAAGTAGAAATATCAGGTTGTTTTATGTAGAAATTTTAAGTTTTTTAGGATGAGGTATTTTGTTAACTCCCAACCATAAAAGTACGATATCAAGGTTTTTGTGCCTTACAATTCTAAGCTGTTATTTTCCCACTTCAAGTCACTCATCCATCCATCAGTCCATATGATATGCAGGATTCGTGGTCTGCCGACCCGGGCCCCATTCCCGGGCCAAGAGCCAGATAGGAGAAGTACGGCGGGTCTGTCCGTACTCCGCCGTACCTACGCATTCGAGTTTATAGGGATCGGAGAATAACGCAGTAGGTTTTGGCACGGCTTACGCTACATGCCCGTATCTCCGGCAAACGGAAGTGAATATCTCTCACCAGATGCCACAGCACGTCCGGAATGATACAGAGAAACGCACACTGAAACAAATATGTGTGCCGAAGCACGTAGACGAAGGGCTTGGAGATATTTCTGGAACACTTGAGAATGGTGAGATAAGTACCAGTAGGTATACGACAAAAATATCATTTTAGGAAATTTTAATTACTCCGTAAGCCAGTAGTTTCCATACTTTCCTTAACACGCCACCCCCCCCCCTCATCATAAAAAAAATTATTGCGCCTATATAACTTTTCGAATAATCTAATTTCATACCCAACTGATATTACAAGTTGTTTAACGAGCAAAATTTAAATAAAAATATTTATTTGTTCAATCATTTTTTTATATCAATTGGAATTGTTTTTATACTCAAAATTAGTATACTGCGAGCCCAATTTGCAAGAGCCTCGAGTCTGTTGGAATTCGCAACCTTAGGCATTAATACCATACAATGTTCAAATCTCACATTGTTATAAATTGTCTAATATTAATGAGAAATATACAGCCTAAACAAATTACTAGTGTACTTTAACTTGATTAAGGTAAATAAGAATTTTTCTGCGCACATGTAGATCTACCATGTGAGAGACAACATAAAGTTAAATAACATCAATTTTTCCATGCTTTACAATTTATATATGTTTTCTAATAAATATAAAGAATGATTGAAGAAATATAGTATATAAAAATATTTATGATATATATGAAGTTAATGGAAATATTTGATAATATATGAAGTTAATGGAAATAAATAAAAATAAAAAATTAGAAGCTCGAATGTAGGTCTATCACCAACTAGACTCTTTAAAATATATTTCTTATTATTTTTTTTCTCAATCACTGACGAAATAAGCACAAGTAGCAATCAGTTTTTAATAATTCGAATTCTTTATATTTGATTCGTTTTTTTCTAAATAATTTCGGCCCCTGTTCAAGTATTACGTAAGCACTATAGGGGGGCGGGGGGGTTGATAATTTGCTTATTTTGGGTTAACATGAGGGGCAGGGGAGTCTGGACGATTATTACGTCATAGCTAGCATTTTTATTTTTTTACATTAATTGCAAAATGTTTACGTAAGCATGGGGGTAGGGGGTAAGAGCTTTGCTTACTTTTGATGACAAGGGGGATGGGGGGGTAAATAATTGTAATAAATCTGCTTACGTAATACTTGAACGATCCCTAACTAAAATAAAATTATTAGTATAGATTTATAAAGACAAAGAAACAAAAAGCGAGGACGCCAAGTTTGAGAATATTTCTAGAACACTTGAGCTTAATGGAAATATATGAAAATGTAGAAACTCGCAGATAAGTATGTGAAAACACTTATCATATTTTTATTTAGTCTTTTATTTTGTAACAAACACGATATGCAAAAGTGACAGACAATTTATACGATCTGTAAATGCTATTATTAAAAATTTGCATTTAAATAACTATCTTCATAGTATTCGTAAAATATTTTCACACCAAGATATTTATGTATATGTAAGTATTTTACAGACTTTATGATACAAAGCAATTTTCTCCTAAAAATTTTAAAGGTATATATATATAAGCATTTCACCAGCACTTGGTATCCGCTTCAAGACATGGCAGTTTTTAAAATTCTCATAAGATTCGTATTGGAATTATATAAGATTTTGTCTAACAAAGCTAAAATGTTTGCTTAGGAAGCACGCATATAAAGAAATAAGTAATACAATGGTTTTAAATATTAGTTTTAGATTTTAGGCATTAGTTTTGGAGTTCAAATTTCCAGGCATTGATTTAATTTAGTTTAAGTTAGAGATATGAATTAGATGTCTCAGATTCGATATCCGCCTCGAGCAGCCTAATATTAGGCAGTAGTGTCATCAAGTTTCACTTGGAAATATAGTTTGCAATATATTTCCATTTTCCATTACATAAACTGTAACAACAAAAAATTCATCACAAAGAGACAACTGTTTGGATTTCCAACTAAAAAATCAATGTAGTAAGTTGGGTCAAATCACCAAGATAGCTCATAGAATTCTTAAGTTCTCATCGCTGTTCAACAAATATTAAAATTAATTAAATTCTGCAATCTACAAGGGTTATAAAATAAACAAGAACGAGTTTGTGCATTTCCGAAATTTCAGTTTTCCAACTATACGCAAAAAAATTACAGGTTTGAAAATTTGATAAAATATAGTTTTATTATTATTTTTTATAACAATTTCTCGAAATGCACCAGCCCTCTATTTAAATCGTCCACACGTGCCATTCACACAACGAAACTCCGGCCGGGCCATATGTTCTCCGATTCGATAGGCCTCCCTCGTATACATCATAGAAATCATAATCTTACTTACTTAGTACCCGTAATATCGCTAAGGTTTCGATACCGGAGCATTACGACCGAGCAATGAAATACAATAATGCTAGAATACGACCAGTGATAAGGCATCTTTAATGGCATAGGCCTTTTCTGTGTTCATAGTCACATATTAATAAATTGGTAATATCGCAGAAGATAAAATCTGGACCCATATTAGGCTCCGCAATACTTAATAGGTTTGCGCTAAATTTTCTTGATATATTGTTTCAATTAATTATTTACAAGTAATTTTACTAACCTATGCGCAACGAAGTATATTTTTTATCAACATACAAACAGATACAATTTTTTACAGCCTATAGTGAATAGAGCTGTTACATCTCATAAATAATTCGTGTATGCAATATATTTCATACCTCTGATTAGGGTATCAACCCACATTTCTTTGCCAGAAATTTAAGTGGATCTAAGGTAGAAGTCCCACATATACTTTTACATATATACCAAAGGGTATTCTGTGTGCCCTGTTATTATTACCAATGCTTATTTATTGACACATATGTTTGGGCAAATGCTAGGGTAAAAATGAATAGCATGTAATCATATTATCCTTATATTTTTATTTTGACACAAGTCTTATTTTTGATCAGAATAAGACCTGATCTCTGAAATTATAAATTATGGATAAATCAATCGTTATTTGGGAGTAATGCTATACAATCACTTCAAAATTATCTGTTAGGCAAATCATTATCTTAATTATCTAAACATGATATTACCTGCATATTATTAGGAAAAAGGCAAATTATCTCGATAATAATTAACTTAGGGAAATAATCACTAGAACAAAGAAGTCATCACTCAATAAAAAGCTGCTGATTTCATATTCAGAAGGAAGATAACTATTGATGCTTTTCAAAATAGAGATTGATTGACATAATATGATAACCAAATATGATTTAAAATTAATATCAAAGTATAATTCATAATCGACCTCAAAGAAAAGTAGAAATTGAAAAATAAAGACTAAACTAAACAATGGCTATCTAATTCGCTAAAAAAATATAGGGAGGCTGAACGTAGATTTGAACTGAAGAATAATAAAAAATAAATATAGATAGATAATTACACAAACTCTTGAAGTCATAATATTAAAAATAATAATAGTAATAATAATAATTGTTATTGCTATTTGAGATGGGACAACTGTTTAGGATAATAAATGATAAATTAATGTTAACAAAGTTTCTATACAGATTCAAATAATATACATATATTAAAAAAAGTAAACGAACTCATTGTTATATTAAAGAAGGCATAAACAAATCACAGACCAAATAATAATTATTTTTTATGACTCAATTGAATTAACAAAATCAAATGCGTCAATTATGATAAAAGATTACAGTCACCAACAACACCTATACACAGACCATTATATATATATATATATATATATATATATATATATATATATATAAATAAATAATCTCAGAAATGAGACAGGATAATTACTTTCTATTAAAATAAAATGCTAACACATTCATTATAAATAACAAGATTAAATATTCACAATGACCCTTCACAAACAGCCAGAGCTGAGAAATTCCAAGCGTAAAAATTTATTCACATCATAATCGTAATTACAATATAATTCTGACACATTAAAACGAAACCCATTAGATTGAGGCAAATCCTGAAATAGAGGAGACAGGACGAAAGTTATTATTGCATAAAGGAATTATAATATTAAATAACTGTCGACCTGTTTGTGCTCTAAATATGCAAAAAGCCGTGAAACAGATAAAGACTTTTATTGTGACAGCTTACACTCATAAAATGTACATCGTTCGTATTAAGCTTAATTCTGCCCTTAGGCCAGAGGTAAGCAACCGAGGAAATAATTTATGAACAAACGTAGTCAATTAGATGTAATTATTATTATATTATAATTTGATTACTGAAAATATTTCTAGAGTATGACTGCTTTTTTTTGTTTGGTGGATTAAGCCTTAGCGGCCAGGGGTTAAGAGCTTAAAGCTCAGAGGATCAATTAAATTCAATACTAGGTGAAATTTGGTATTTAAAAAAAAACGAAATTAACAAAATAAGAGTAAGGAAAAGATAAGGAATGCAAGAAAAAAAGATTAAATTTATTACCTAAATATTGAATTTATATAATATAACGTAAATATATATTTTACTCATTTTTCTGTCAATAATCAACATTCATAAATATCTGATATGAGATAAATTCATTTTCATAATATGTTATGCTTCGATTCAAATTAATTTTAACAATATAGGTAGAACAATATGTGCGCTTTCGTAATATGTTTTGTCATATCTATATATGTTATTACATTATCAACAATGTTCATAAATTCTATGTAATAATTTATTCAAATACGAATGGCGATTCAAATCATATACTGTGAGTATTTCCGGGACTGTTTTGCACATTCATCTCCATTAGTGATAGATATATTATATTATCCATATTCTGTGACTGAACTGAGGCAAAATTATCAGGTTACAATACGATATTGTATTGATTTTTTTAGAAAAATAATATTAAGAAAATTTATAGAAAAATGTTAGGAAACCTCTGAAACTCTGAAATCTTTATTTTGTGTGCAATTTCATATTCATTTTCGTTTTTTTCTACTAAGAATATAAAATTAACGCAAGTCGACATGGTGTTTGCAGCTCCTGATGAAAATCTGTACTGAAAAAGATGGTAAATAAATTATTATTATATGATAATGTGCATCTACATCGTAATAATTCAAACGTTTATGAGATGATTCTACAACAGTTGCTTTTTTTCTGGTTTAATTCTATAAAAATTATAGAATGAGCTTTTGTCTATAACATTTCATAACATTTTTGTTCTTTTTGAGAAATTAAATCTTCCTATTATAAATCTATAAATTATATTTTTGAGAACTGATTTAATTTACTACGAGTGTGATCAACCTACTAGCAGCAATATGAAAACTCTTTTACAAATATAAAGCAATAACTATTTTACTAAAAAAATTATTTAATAGTATATTGCTAGAATAAGAAGTACCATGCAATCGGACATCTAGGTTGATTTGCTTTGAAAATTTACTTTTTCGTCCTAGACCTGAACACTATTCATTCATTATAACTATATTTTTCTACTTTTAAACTGATTTTTTAAACCGTTTAATTATTTTAATTAATTTTCTATTATTAAAATAATACTTTTGACCATATTTAATTTTTTTGCCTTCGCTATATAATAAATAATAGCGGTAAATGAGAACTTTATGGCTCCTAAAATTTAATCTTAACCTTATTGTCACCTTCTGGTCGATTTATAATAAAACCAAGCAATAAACAGTATAATTACAAAACTCGGAGCCAGTCGTTCAAAGGTTAATGAAAAGCCTAGAAATTTGTTTTTCAATTAAAGCTGTAGACTTTTTATTTGAACAGGTTGAAAGTTACTCATTAATTGAACCTCCGAGGTATAAATAATTAAAAAGTTAAATGGTAAAAAATATTAGTTAATTTTTACAAACTTAATTACAACCGAATACTAATTTTGTTATTTCGAATATCGAATTCAGAATTCTCGGTCTATATCAGTGGTCGGGGAACTTTTGGAACCGTTACCCCAAAATGTTTTTGTGCAACCTCTCATTACCCCACAAAGAAAAATTAACTAAAAGAGCCTATAATTGGAATCTGTTTGCAACATATTTTTGTATAACCTGCCATAACCCGCAGATTAACGGTTTGCTACATTGGTCGTTACTTCTAAACTTTTAAAAAGGCTGAAACAAAGGGTTTGAAGGAAACAATAAGTAAAAATTATATTCATTATGAATAAATATATTATTCATGAATATCCTACTAATACATGAATAAACTAGTTGGTTTGTTATTTAGCCTTGAGGCAAGTTACATGAACTTCCCTATATGAGTAAATAATCGACTTAATCAATAAAAACTAAATTAATTTATGAGTGATTAAAAGTATTCCGAGTGAATTTATTACACATAATTGAAAACAAACAAACAGATTAACTCGGAGTATTTTCTAAAAGTAAATTTTCAGAAATCAATAATTTTTATAATTGAACCAGTTTCCAGGACTTTAATGGTTTATTATGTTCAAGACCAAGTACTCTATCATTATACCAAGTAAATAGCCTAATTTTAATTTTAACAAATGTCAAAAGAACTACTCATTTTCTCAAACTTTGATGATTTTTTAAAATCAAACTATTAGTCGTAAGGCCGTAATATTTCAGTAAATTCTATAAGACCATAGTATATATCGCAAAAAAAATCCATAAAAATCGGCTTAAATTTTTTTTTCAACAGTTAATTACAAGAAAACGGCTCGGTAGATTTTCACCTAAAACTAATCAGTATAATTCCCAACTAATATCTTTCGAACTGTTTTTGATTTTTTAAAATCGGTTTGGTAGCTTAAATCGGTTCGATGAGCTTAAATGTGGACGAAAAGTTTAACACTTTTTTTTAAATTACAAAGAAACGGCTTGGCAGATCGTCGCCCAAAACTGCCAAACGATAGTCCTCGCCGAAATACAACAAATGGCTTTTAAATTTCTGAAATCGGTTCAGGCGTTTTTGAGAAAACGTCGATCAAAGGTCTAATTTTGACAAATGTCAAAAAAACGATACCAATTTTTGCAAACTTTGACGAATTTTTAAAGCTAAACAATTAGTCATAGGGCCGTAATATTTTAGTATGATCTAGAAGACTATGGTATCTACCGTCAAAAAAATAATCATAAAAATCGTCGAATTTTTTTTTTTGAAACTTTATTACAAGAGAACGGCCGGGCCGATCTCTACCAAAAACTAATCAGCACGATTTCCAACCAATATCTTTAGAATGGTTTTTGAATTCTCAAAATCGGTTCAGAATTGCGGGCTAAAACGTAGACGAAAAAATTTTCACGTTTGTGCGATTTATAAAGAAACGGCTTGGCCGATCGTCGCACAAAACTGACAAACAATAGTCCTCGTCGAGATACATCGAATGGCTTTTAAATTTTACACACACACACACACACATACTTTTTCCAAATTTGGTCTCATTTGATTCAGAATGGCTTGAAACGTCGAGAAAACATAAAATTAGCGAATCGGATTTTTTGATGAAAACATAAACTTCTCCTTCGGGAAGTTAACTAGTGGTGTATGGTATCATGCGTTAAGGCAAATTGCTGGAACTTTACGCACCGTGACGAAATTTTCGAGGAATTTTAAATGTTTCCAATTAGATTATTATAAATACTGTAACATTGTATAATATTTATAAGATATATATAAGCTGAATCACAAAATTAAAAAAAAAAAATATTTATACGAAGAATATAAGTGACCTTTAGGACTTTAGCCAGAATCAGAATTAAAATCTGAATTATTTTCGATATACAAAGAAACATTTTTTGAAATACTTTTCTTTCCCAAAAGTAATTGTTTTGTCAACATAAACAGCAAGTTTTTTTAATCATTCCAATCGGATGCTTAGTTCTCTCAAAAACTGCCATCTTTGTACATTTAGCTCTGCATCTTCGAAATGGATGGACATGCCTTTGCCAAAACCTAATCACTATTTCTCCCAATCATTACAAATTGAATGTTTTTTGGATCATTCATATGGGATACCCCGTTCTCTTAAAAACTCGATTTCTATTTTTGGCACTCTTTACTCCGTATCTCCGTTACGGCTGGACCTGCCTTTGCCAAATACTAATCAGATTATCTCCTTATCAATAGGAACTGAATGTTGAATGAACCATTCAAATCGGTTTATCCGTGCGCTCGAAAACGTGAACGAAAAAATGCGGACACAAAACACACACAAACACACATCCATTTCTTCTTATGGCAAAATGTTCAAAAACCTCTGAAACGTGAAGAAATGCAAAAATTTTCATTTTCGGCCCATTCCCATAACCTACCCTACGCATACATGTAATATAAGAACATTACGATTTGGAGAAATGGTGTTGCTTCATCTTTGACACAATTTCTTCAAAATTTCAAGTCTGCTAAATATGCGAGATATGCAACCCTGGAAGCGTTTTTAAAATTTTCAGCAAGAATATTTTTTTGAGAAACCATAGAGATTTCAGCTTCATTTTTAAGAGTCCATACTCAAAATATTTAGTTTGTTTTAATGCAAAAACTTCACATTTTTTGCTAATGCAGATTTTCTTTTCGGTAGTAGGTTTTACTGAAGCTGAATTAGTGCTTTGGAAATATATACCTTTTACCCCCAAAAATTCCACTTTTACCCCATTTGGGGTAATTTACCCCGGTTCCCCGACCACTGGTCTATATTATAAAAATTATATAAGATTATCGGAAAAGTTTAAACAAAGAAAATAGCAAAAAATATTAGTTTAAAGATTAAGAAGTCCTGTTCTAGTTATCTTCAAATTGCCTAAAGCACTAAAAGAAAATGAAGCGAGTGCGAAAATGTTTGTGATCTCTGTAGAGATCTAAAATATTAAATGAATCTTGAGTAAATAATAGGGTATTTTTTGCATGTGTAATATATGAACTGCCGACGTTCATATTCTGTTTCGTTCTTTTTTTCGTAGAGATTTGAATCAATAAATAAATCCTCTTTTATATTTTTATAAAACAATTTCAATTGCGAAGGTTTTGTGTTATTAATACGAGAAGTAGCACTTTGAGTATTTATAATACCCGCATGTCGATATATTTTGGTACGAAGTAGAGTAGGGGATTATAAATGTATGTGAAATTTATTTCAAATAATAAGCAGAATATTTATTCTGAATATGGTGAAATAATTGTAATAATTTTGATATTTTATTTCTACAACTGGATGTTGAAAATTCTTGACCTAAAAGATGTTTTATGACCATCTGCGGCGCGCAATTTGAAAAATTAAAGCACCAGATGCAAGTGTGTATTACATATTTTTACAATACAGTAAGTAAATTGACTATTCTTTTAATCCAAAAAATAATTGATTGTTGTATTCTGCTTTCGGAGAAATGATCAATATCAAATTCCTTACACATAATAGTGTAGTATATTTCAAAATTAACAATATTCTTCCCAATCATAATATTAACGACTTGTTTCATAATCCCCAAAGACTCCCCTAAATCCCAGAATATTTCAACTAATAATTTTCCTCTAAATATAGCGATTGACTTACCCTCTTCGCTTTCATCAAAATCTCCGACTATCCAGTGTTCGTCATCATCGAAATGAGCATCACCGCCTCTTCCTGAACCCGGAAAGAAGGCGTGAGCCAGGACGGAACCACGTCCGTCGAAAGGAAACCCATCGAAGTGGTCATCTCTGAAAGGAAAACAAAAAATATATAATAATTTCATAAAAAAATCGTTTAAAGAAGTATATTTCATAAGTAAAAGTAATATAGAGAAAGGCGGGGCACAAAGATCCCCAATTTGACTTTCAATAATTATCTGTTCAACACATAACATGTAGCAAACAACAAGTAGAAGTATCGAACTATTTCCAGTTAACTCCTCATTCATATTCAAATTCTCAGTTGATTCCTAATTATAAAAACACATTTTTAACTATTTTTTAAAAATTTGTCATCTGCCCCTTTGCTCCTCATGGTCAAGGAAAAAGGAGTCAGCCAGAGGATAAACATCAGATCCAATATCTATCTTGAAATTTTAAATGGATTTTACGAAATAATAACTGCATTATTTAGGCAATGTGAAAAACAAAATAAATTTTATGGGAATATTTTTTTACAAAGAATTCATTGTATATAACCTTGATCTGATCTGTCGAAAGTGATATTAATCAGCAAAAGGCAAATCGATATCGCAAGGAAACTATCAAAATTTCAACATTGCAGATGAAATTTAAGCTTGACTGGAGATTAATTAGACTTTATAATTAAAAACTCTATTACATTTAATTTTTATGTTTTTACATTCAGTTCCTTTTAATTGAGGATAGTATAACCTATCTATTTTACAAAGCCATGATATTATATCCTATTATAATGAATCAGCTTGACTGGAGCCTTAAAAATTAGTTATTATGATTGATCACGTCTTGCTTGTAAACAAATATATAATGAGTACCATACATAAACTAAAATTTATAAATGATTTTCCATTGTGTTCTGCATTAGTTAAAATTTGATCTTGATTTAAATACTTGCATTCAAGACTGCACCATTTATATTATTTTGGCAAAGTTAATTCCCCGATCTAATAAATTAATAACAAAAATTATATCTATTTTTTATGCAGTGTAAATTAAGTGTGATTGGTAGCTAATCATTTATGTTGTATATTAAAAATTATCTTAACCTTGTTTAAAATAAAATCATCATGCTAAATACTATCATAAAAATATTGAAATATGCCTCTGATTAATGAGCCATACTAAATACTAATGTGAAACTATGAATCTAATCCAAGTTCGATCAAACAATTTCAAATAACACTCCAATTAATTTCATAAACAAACCAACCACGATATGTTACATTTTAACACATTATTATTAGAGATCCAATAATTTATTTTTTCGACATATTGTTAGCATTACTTGCGTAAAATTGATTCAAACACAAATTTTATATGGTCATAGGTATTTCAATATCACGCTTGACTGCTTTAAACAAATCATATACGAGTATATGTATGGAAATTGCACTCAGAAGCGTTTGATCTTCTGGTGTATGAGTGAAGGATTAAAATGAATCGGAATTAGGTCATGAATATTTTTGGAATTCGAAAATTTATTATGCATGACGCTTGCTTGATCGAATATTACAAATAAAAATATATAGATCTGCAAGAACTTATAATTTAGTTCGCATGATAGAAGATACATACACGCATAGCTTGAATATATATATATATATATATATATATATATATATATATATTAGACACTACATGCCTCGTTTGTAATTATTAGGTTAATGTATAAACTACGTAATATATTTGATTATTCATTCCTCACAACATTGTAGTTTATCCTTGGTCAAATAATGCACGTGCAGCTATAAGATTTTTTAATCAATTTTATCAGAAACACAAAGGAATTACGAAATGAAATTACACAAAACATTATTTTAGTCATCCAGTGTTTATGTCCTAGAATTCATTGTGATAGATTGAAGTTGTGCCCCTCCCTTCCATATGTTCAAAATTAAAACCAATTTATATTTATGATTATCATATAATCATTGAATATATTAATGAGTGCTTTAACAATATCAAAGCCATATCTAGTTAGGTAAACTTAGATCATACTTTCAGTATAAATTATCATTTTTCTGTAAAAATTATCGACAGAACCAGCCAAGTGTCGACACATACTCGTCTATAATGACTTGGAAAACTTTATTACGATTATTGCTCTTATAACTTCCATTATGCTAGAGCTAAGCATTTTTTTCTTTCTTTTCTTTTACTTTCTTGAACTCGTGGCATTATATATCCGTAATCAATCTCCCTTAAAAAGTTTGCTTTCAATACAGAGAGCTGTAAAATGTTTACCCACGCTCCGGTGATCACGTAAGATTTCTCTCGGTACACATAAACAGCTCGGAGCCCGAAAAATTCATTTCTCAAAAGAATTCCGAGTTTTGTCACAAATTATTATGTTTGTGATGAAATCATAAAGCAACGCTTTTAAAACGGTACGTGCTTTGAAAAATTAAATGATTTGCTATTCATCAAAAGTGTTTGGATATGGTTTTTGGATCGTCGACTAATAATAGATTATGCAAATGGTTTAAATATACTTCTATATTTAAACCATGCACGTTGCAGAAAAATATTGTTTTCTTTTGTAAAATAGTGATTATTATATTGTTTTACCGTAATCCTATATATAGTTTCATAATTACTTTCGTCGAAATAAGTAGGTCATTGAAATCAATCAAAGATTGAAATATTTTTTTGATACTTTTACGTTCCTGCAAATGCTTATAAAGTTAATTAGAGAATTTTAATAATTGAGCGAAAATGTGGTTATAAGTGTATTTAATTATATGTTTCGTTTCCGGAAGACATATCATACGTTAAATTTTCCTGATTTTTAGATAAGCAGCCTGAGGAATATTAAGCGCGAGAAATCGCTAGAAACATAAAATAATAAAAATTGAGATAAAACGACCATTATCTAGAAATACAAGTGAGGTATGTTATTTTTAGTAATACCATTTAGTTGAAAGTAGTTTTGTTAAATGGGGCGACTTCGAAATCAGGAGAAGGGCCTCATTGTCAAATATTTAACACAAGTATTTTTTATGCTCGTCGTTCAGTGGCGTCGGAACCGTGTGGGCTGTGTGGGCTTGAACCCACCCATTAATTTTCAATCTCAAAAATATGATATTGTCTCAAATGTCTAAAAAGAACCGCCCTGGCTGTCTAAAAAAAAACGAGCCCACCCATCAAAAATTTGCTTCCGAGGCCACTGTCGTTGTTAGTTTTTTTTAGCATTACCCTTAGTTTACAATACCTGAACAGAATTTTTGAGTACACATTAATTAATTCTTTTATAAAGTATATTGTTATTTTTAAACAAGACGCAACAAGTTCTTGTAGATAACCTCTAGAATACTATACATGTGATTGGGTAAAAAAGTCCTCCTGAACCTTTACACTGGCATAGTGCAAACAATAAAACAGGCACACAAAAAAGTAATTTTAAAAAAGATAAATTAAATAATAATAGTTCTTATGAATTCTATCAAAGTTCCATACAAAAGTTCAAACCGGTATGCAGTCTGATATTTGTAAAGAACGTATCAATAAATATGTTCACCTTATTTGTAATAATTGTATTTCTACAATCAACAAATCTAATTATGATAAATTGGACAGAAATACCTCACAAAGCAAGTGTTGTGATGGTAGTAAGAATGGATAATGATTTTTATTTATCATGCTTAACAATATATATTTAGATTACAATTTTTAACTTCGTTGTTTAAATTAATAAGTAAACTGCATCGCATTAAATAAATAATGTAGATATTATTCTGAAAAAGGTCTATAAAATTGAAAATACAATATTGGACTTTTGTGCTCATGTGGTGTCCCTTTTTATCACATCTATGGGGTAGAGTAAACAACGTGGCAAATTTTAGAAAAATGGCAAAAATCATATTTCTACTTTGGAAAAAATAAATAATTTAAATATTATTCTGAAAAAGGTCTATGAAATCAAAAATATTGGAGTTTTGGCTCACGTGATGTCTCTTTTCATCAAGCCTATGGTGTAAAGTGAACCAGGTGTCACATTTTAGAAAAATAGCAATAAAATATATTTGTATGTAAGATGAATTAGCCGGAAACTTTACTACATATATAAAATTGTTCATCAGATATACCCACTTGTGAAAATAGACAAGAATATCGGCCCTGTCGCTGTCGACTTCGGTGAACGTGAGTTTGCTGTGCTGAGACCAAACGTCCAGGGCTCTTCCCAGCTCCGCACGCACGGCATGCGGGTTCAACCGCGGAGAACTGGGTGGACGACGCAAACTGCAAAAGAAGAAGAAGTCTTTTATTATTATTGTTCAAGTGACATAAAATAATCACAATCACACAAAGAATCATTTATTCAGAAATTGAGATGCAATAATGTAGAACATTTTGTACCACATTAACTGTGATCAATATAATCTGCAATGCCAAGTACCTACATTCGTGCCACAATTATTTTGTTTGCATCTTATAATTATTTTTTGGTAATGATATTTTTGAGTAAAATATATAAAATTTCGATATCATCAGTCCAAAGTATAAAAATATCAAAGTCAGAAATTACTTTTTGATCAACTTCTATATTTGGTTTAGAATGCAAGTATATTCTAATAATTTCGCTGCTGCATCAAATTAAAAGTCAGCCCTATTAGATGAATTGGAATGATAAATCATCAAACATTGATGGATCAACCTTTAGGTTGCCAATAAATAATCAGTTACGTCTCCTAATCAATACGAATCGAATGCCTTTTGAATGATTCAAATCAGTTGAGAAATGCTCCGGAAATCGCCGAAGAAAAATTGTAATCACACATACGCACAAGCATATCCATTTTTCACTACCCAGTCCATACTCAGTATATAATTAATGGAATAAAGCTAGACTTAAAATAGAAATTACTTTAAATTCAAAATGCAAACTAATAGTGGTGCATGGCATCGTGCCATGCTAAAATTTTTGAAAACTCAGAAAAGAAAAATTAGAATTACTTGAAAATTTTTATTTTTTTAGAACATTTTTGGAAATTTTGAGAACATTTGAAAAACTTGAATATTGGCAAAATGCCCTTGTTAGAATGGCTAATATTTTTTGAAAACTAGAAAATATTTCCAAAACAAATGTTTAGATTTTTTTTTTGAAAATCCAGAAAATTTTGAAATTTTATGAGAGTTCTTGATACTCATTCCATAGTTTAATTCAAATTACAAAATATATGACTTTCGACCCCCAAATTGGCATATTTTTAATCTTTTTTTCTTGATCTCCAAAACCGCTGGATCTGCCTGTGCATAAACTTAACGAATTTTTCATAACGTCAATACAAGTAGAATGTTTTATGAATCATTCAAATTGGATGCTACGTTTATCTTCTGTTCTTCCGTATTTCCGAAACTGCTAGACCGACTTTTGACATAAACTAACCAGAACGTCCTCTGATCAATAGGAATCGAATGCTTTGGGAATCATTCAAATCGGTTGAGCGGTGCTCCGAAAATCGTCGATAAAAAAATGTATTTATACATACACACAAACTATCAATATCTAATTTTCTAAGTATGCTAAAAATGTTCAGAAGCCTCTAAAACGTAAAGAAATGCAAAAATATTCATTCCAGATTTTTGGACGATTATTATAACTTACCCTACTCAAAGTTAATTAATCAATTTTGCTAGTATAAATTTACGATGTTTTGTTCAGAATTTTTAATTCCGAATAAATAATATCAAAATTACAGTTTCCTTGAATAAGATTGAACAGGAACGAGATAGAGCTTATGAATTATTAATTCCAAAAACGTCTGTATATGGTTCCTAAATATTTATTTATCAATTAAACATACCCTTTTACCTGCATTTCCTGTGGAATTGCCGTTGTTTATTGTATTATATCGTATTATCACTCCGTGTCCTATCATTAAGTGCGAAGTTCGTGGCTCTTACGCCGATTACAAGCTTATGTGTTTCGCAAAGTTCTGTGTACGTTGTTCAAATATACCTGTGTCAAGTAAATATTTAGGGGCGTAAATAGGCGAACGGATTTCTAGTTTCCTCATCAAGAGAATTAACTCTAACGGCAACCACTCCAGCCTAATTTACACGAGCTTTTGGTACAACCGTTTATCACATTTTATACTTCTTATCGATAGACTTTTTTTCTTGATTACGCTTTTTTTGGCATTAAATATTTGCTTTTCTGATTTATATTATTAACTTTAGATAAATGCATACAAATTAATATACAATCAATTAATCAGTCAATTAATATACAATATTAGATAGAAATTGTTTGCAAGCAATGTTAATGGTTTAGTTATGGAACTAGCAGAATGTAAAAAAAGTTACGAACTTATGAATCAGGGTATAATAGGTACCTGCATGATGACTAAAAAAAGATTACTGAAATCAAAAATTGAAAAAAAAAATTTCTTCTGTAACACCAATCAAAGCCTTACGTCATAATGAGCTGTTAGACTAAAACTTCTCCCTTCGTCGTATTTTTAGATAGTAACCAAACCATTCATGCTTTATATTTTTTTATTAAAATTTATCTAATAGAGCTGACTAAAACATTCTCTAATCCCAACTAAACACGTGTCACAAAAATTATGTAACCATTTCAGTTGCATGTTATAATTAATTTTAATGATTATGCAATATAATATGTTAGAATAAACAGTGAAACAATCTCGATAGCGTTTGTTCAAAGTACAAAAGTATTATGATAATAATATTTTTTGTAATCGATTTACCTCGGTTAATATAGAACGCGAGTATATCATAATGGTGTATATGGATGAGTAATTTTTAAAGTTTTATAACATTAAATTTTTTGAATAAAATGGTGAATTATGAGTTCTAGTTAGAAAAAAAGTAGTAACAATAACAGGAAAGACTTGACTTATCATTAGATGGTTATTATATACAAATAAAAATCTATAGCTGATATCATCTGAATGAATTTTAAGGAATTGCCTAAACTTAAAAAGTTGTTTTCAATAATAATCAAGATAATCTTCAAAAATAAAAAAAATCCTACATTTTTTTTAACTATTAAATTATTAAAAGCAGGTCAAAAAATATTTAGTTTGTACTCGTATTGACCAAACAACGAATTGATTAAATGGTTGGAAGGTTCAGAAGTTTCGTAGATCCAGATTTTTTTTAAAAATGCTGTTTGACGATTAATTATTTCAAAGTTTTCAAAGAATTATAAAACTTTAAACCTCTTAATTTTTTTCTCAAAAATTTAAAAGTTTTGAATTATAGAACATGAAGTTCCAGAAGTTTGCCTTAATTTATGATGCCGTGCACCACTAGTTTTAAATTTTATTTATTTTATTTATTCATAAGCAAGCCGTAATCAATAATAATAGATATTATTTCGGGCTCTTGTCAAGAGCTTGTCTATTCATAATTAATTAATTTCTGCCAGTAGGTAGTAATCCGCAATTTACAATTTTAAATCCCCAAATGCCAGTCTAGTGAAATTAGAAAAAAAATGTCTAGATTAAGAATCAAATAGTTTCGAAAACTTCCGCATGGCAGAATTTAATTTGAGCTCTAATAGACGATTTAATCTATCGCATCCCTTTAATCCGTCTCGACGGCGGGCGCACCGGATCCAAAATAAAACCGTCAAAAAGCAGTTTTCCGTGGGCCGCCTGCTTTTGTAGCGAAATGACGTAATAGAGAAATAAAAACGACACGACAGTAGGAAAATGCAATAAGCAATCTGTACAAATAGAATAAAAAAGTCGTTCTTTTCTGCTACTCTCTTCCCTGCCATCCACTCCGGTAAGCAAAGAAAACTCGCAAAGAGATTTGATATTACGCGAAGATAGAGTAGAAAAATATAGAGTCGGCAAAGGAGATGAGGGGCATGTTAAGGGATTCCTTCCTTATCGAATATATCGATATTTTTGAATGACGTAATGAAAAATTCAGAAGCTCCGTGTAAAGTAAACACCGCTGCGACGGCGGGGTCGACTCGTGGGGATTCCGGAGAGAAAATATGATGGAAACGGTCGAGCTTTGCAAGATATGTCACGTAAACTGTAAACATGATAAAAAGATATTAAAGAGCGTGTACTGAGATTGTTTAGTTAGTATATTTCAACATAAAATCTTAATTCGACCTAGCATCGTATTGGATTGCAAACATTATTTTATATAATGTAACTTATAAGATGGAAAGCTATTTTCAATTTCAGCATTTATAAAATTTTGAACCAAATGAAAGAAAGTATTTAAAATGTATAAATAAATAAATTCTGGTTGAATGTAAGATCGTTTAGGTGTTATATTTTAATATTGAAGGTTTCAACATCTTTCTATCTTCAACAGAGAACGATACAAAATTTATTATCTGTAAATTCTAAAATATAAAAGTAGATTAACAGGAAACCTTAGAAATGACTGAACAGATAGATTCTTCTATTTATTTTGACTCACTTAGCCTCGATATTATTTTATTATCTACGTCTATAATTATAGAGGCAGTTCTGATTTAATAATAAGCATTATGTTATGTCAAAATGTTCATTTTTTTAATTACAATATTTATTACAACTGTTAAATAATTAGCATATAGCAAAGATGATAAATAATAACATAAATTTAAATAAATAAAAGTGCAAAGGATAGAATTTACATTAAAATAATATCCGTAGTATGATGATTTAGTATAGAATAAAAGCAAATAATAATAAAAATAAAATTAATAAATAATATAAATAAAATTTCTGAATAATAAAATAATACTAGAAAAACAATAAAACATAAAAATAACAATATTAGAAATAATAAGATAATAATAATAATATTATTATTATTAATGTTAGCGTTTACAAATGGCTATTTATGAGATCATTGGGAATTTTTTATTTTAGCCTGGTTGGGGCGCTTCTGAGAATACTTTTTGTGACAAGTAATTTGAGTGTTCGTCAGTTCTTCTTTTATAGTTGTCTGTTTTTTGTTGACTTCATTTACTGTCATCATGTCATCATCGCTGAATAATCTGTATATTGTTTTTTTCGGCGGTGCCCCATAGTTGAATCCCGTAAGACCACACTGGTTTGAAAATACATTTGTATATTATTAGTTTGTTGTTTGTCGACAGTTCGGATCGTTTATTCAGCAAACAGTAATGTTTTTTGAATAGTTCATCAATCTGCCGTTTTTTTCTTATTTTTAAATAACAATTATGTTTTTGTTCTTAAATTAGGAAAGAGTTGGGCTTAAAGGTCAGCGCGTAAAAAAATCCACCACCGATAATAATTTTTTTGGAAAATAATTTTTCCAGCAATTTTTCCCAAGCAATGGAACAAACATTCAGCATTCCGTTGACAACAACTTGCCATAGAAATGTTATTGTTCCATATTTTGTCGTCATGTCGCTTTATTTTTCTTAGCACTCTCCTCTAGTTGAATTTCCGAGCAAGCCCGTCGCTCACTCAAGGAGGTTGTGATGATTCCAGCAAACATCACACCCAGGTTGAGTGAGTGACAGACTTGATCTGCGATCATCATCAGCTCACAGCCGCCGGCTTTTATATAAACACCTCATATATTTTCGGTCCTGTAGAGTAGAGAGACGAGAGACGAGAGACGAACTTGGCTAAAGCGCACTACGCTCAAAAAAACATTCTTTGTAAATACGAGATATGCGGAATTTTTATTGTAATAGCATCACAAAAGGAAACGTAAATAAATCTTGGGTAAATATTAGGTAATAATATTTTAATATTGATTAGATTTTAGATGTAATATATAATAACTAGTGGTGCACGGCAATCACGACATCGTGCCTTAAGGCGAATTGCTGGAACTTCCAGTATAGTAATTAAACATTCGCAGAATAAAAATAATTAATCATCAGCAAAAATTGATAAATGATTAATAGCAATTGTTTTAAATGTTCTCCATTATTATGAATAAATTCTGTAAATTTCATTTTTCGTATTTTATAGATCTAATTTAAGATCTAACCTAAAATAGAAGCATCATTTCATTTCATTTCCACAAGGGAATGCAAAACCGGTATACCGGTATACCAAATTACCGGTAAACCGCCCGATTTTTCGGCGGTATTTTTACCGGTATTTATTCCAAAAATATCGGTAATTTCGGTTTTTTTACATAAGCGCTATTTGATACATAATACTCTAAAGTTTAAATTTCTCGGAACAAATTTATCTTTAATTTCCATAATCGCATAAACAGCTATATCTTCAAATAATTTTATAAAATAAACAAATGTCAAATACTATCTCAACTCGTCATTAAACTGAATATTTATTGCTTTCCAAAGGGCTTCATATCGTGTTACAATAAATGGAATTGGACTGATAGATAATGATCATTATCTGAACATCGATGTTTGTTTCATCTTTTGTAAAAATGTTTTTTAAGTGATATTTGCGCCAAAATATTTTATATCATACGGATAACCCCTGCGCAATCTTTATTTTTTTCTAACTTTATACATAATAATTATGATAATCACTAAATATTTTTGCTTCTTATTACAATTATAAAATATTATTTTTCGAAAACGTTTCGAAGTTTGAAAATACCATAGAAGCATCACATTGTTTTGAATAACAATACTCAACAATTATAGTAACTTATTATTTGTCTCGACAAAGAATCCGATCTTAAATTAGTGTAGAAAAATTATTTTTTTTTAATATCAGAGATTATGCTAATTTGACAAATCGGATACAGATAATACAGTTTATTATAATAATGTAATATGATCTTTTATGAGTTTTTGGTCTTTCTTACTCATAAGTTTGTTTTTGGTGAAAAGTACCCAATATACTCTCTATATAGTGATAATGAATTAATTAAATTGCATATACTTTTGTTAAATTATTATTTAAAAAAATAAACTTATTATTTTATGTTATTGTTTAGTTGAATATAGTTGTAGTTGTATAAACATTTTTTTTATATTTGTACTAGTAACTTTCAATTTTGTTTAAGATAATAAAATACCGGTATTTCGGTTTTAAAATGAAAAATTACCGAAATACCGGTATTGAAATTTTCCATCGGTATTGCATTCCCTAACTTCCACCATTTAGAAGCACCTATTCTTTCCATTATTTAGGAGCATCATTTTAATAGTAAGGAAAACCCATTTCATGGTTATAAAAGTCTCTATATACAACTCAGTGATCAGGTAGGTACTTTCTCGCAATCTTATTACGATGTAGCAAATAAATCATTTCCTTGTACGATACGAAAATCTTTTACGGCGTCGGCCGACACAATCCTTTCCAATAAATGTTCCCAAAGCTGCAATTGTCGGACTGCCCTCGATAGACCGCGTGGTGTATGTGAGACATAGAACATAGGGGAAAACGGGGTCATAGGAGTGTTTTCTTAAATTGAAATAAAACTTTTATTTCTTTTTGCAAAATAATACTTTTTTTGTTTAAAATTTAAAACATCACATTTTATCTAGAAATGTATGTATCTCGCAGTATTTATTTCAATATTTTACCATAATAAAGTAATTTTCAGAATGTTTTTATTTATTGTTTGGAAATTGATGCATCAAAAATAAAAATTCAACCCTTTTACATTGATATAATATAATACTTGAATTACTGATGTATTGTGAAATAAATAAATAAAAATACAACAAAAAATCTTAGATATAATTCCAACAGATCACTGGGCCTTCTAATTTATTAAATTTCTACCGTGTAAAATACGAAACAAGTATCGGAGATTGGGTACGGTTGTGCCAGGGTACGGTAGTGACAGTTGTCATAACAGCTAAACTATTATACTGATTTCGAGATTGTGTCCAAAGTGAAAAAGATGAAGTATGTTTTTTCGAACAAGTTTCCATTATAGCATTGAGTCAGCGCCCTAAATTATTAATATGATCTGTAGATGCCTGCCAACAAGCTGTGATTTTAAAGAGTCAAAAGTAAGTTTTTTTGTTCGATTTCTTTTTATAATAACTGTAACTTGTATGCAAATAGATCACTTGGTTAATTTAATTCAAATTGAACATTAGTATAGTTAATTACCATTAATAAGTACTGTTTTATGCGATATATATATGTTGTGACATGCATTCTTCGTCCTTTTTGGGTAAAATTTAAACAAATAAAAAAAATCGAACTAAACTAAGACAAAATACGAAAGAAAAAGGAAAAAGAAAACTTATTTATTTTTAACACAGTTGACAACATTAGAGTATAACTTTTTGATACCACTCTGGTAACCAACCAAATAAATGTCGATTGCTCTAAATAATTTTAATACTGGACTTAGGAATAGTTTTTTAATATTAATGATTATTTTTATATTTGTAATGAATCTAAAAGCTGTATTTAAACGCATAAAGACAAAATACAATAAGCTTGTTCAGAGAAAAATGTTATTTTCCCAATCAATGTACAAACTCTAGTAGCTAATAATAATTTAAAAATATATAAATATATATTTAAGTTTATTAATAATACTAAAATTAATTTATAAGTTATTTATTCAATAAGATTTGTAGTAAACAATTATACGAATGAAATAAATAAATAAATAAAAAAAGCTTGTTCAGAGTAACAAACATGAAAGCATATAATAAATCATATGATTCTTCTTAAAAAAGTCAATATCATTGTGATATATATATTGAGGTTGATATAATTTGGAGTATAATAAATAGTAATAAAATTGTCTTTTGGTCAACAATCATCTCATATTCCCTAAGTGTACCTCGCCCCCAACAGGCGTTTCCAAGTTCAATTCCGATAAAAGGATTGGTTCGGTCGTTGTGTTTCCACGGTTGGTAATTGTTTCGACAAGAGAAACTCGGGAGGATCTCAAACAGTTCCACTTTTGATCGACGTGCAAGGCGGTGGACCCGTGCCAAAACCCATCAATATCTAATAGACAGAAAATTCAGGACGTTACGTGGGTGAACAGCTACCGGCAGACACAAAATCACGTCGAATCAAATCTTCAAAACGAAGTCATGTGCGCTTAACCTGATTTTGATTCCACTCTTATATCTTTCCGATTGGTTTCAGTTCCGAAGGCGCCGGTGTGAGGGATTGAAGCTTTATTTCTGTTTTGTTTTGACGTCGAACGAGATGAATTATATATTAGACGTCTGTGTAATTTGATAAAAACAAAGATTATTATGTTATTATGATGCGATATCATATTTTCTCTTATTAAATTACTTGGCAGCCGTTGGACGTCTAATAAATTATTCTTCGTTGGTAATCTTCATTCAAGATATATGAGCGTAAATAAATGGCATAAAACGATTCAATACATTTATTTCTAATATTTTAAATAATTGCTTTAATGAAATTCACAAATGGTAACAAATATAGTATGATTTATGTTTGAAGCAATACATCATTGCATTAATTTTTATTTGTATTTTATTTGATCAGCGTTTACGGAAGCTGATGACTTAATTAACTACGTCGGTTTTTTAGATGTTAATCTAAACGGTTGTCCTATCTCTATGTGATGAATTTTTATTATTAAAATTTGTATCATAGTAATGATGTATAAGTATTTTCAAACAAAAACCGATGTCAGTACTGCTTGACATCAGGCTGCCTGAAGCAGATGTCGAACCTGATACCCTTGATTGAAATCTCGCAATTCTAACCACTAATCCACAAAAGAACCCTTAATTTTTTTATAAATTCAATAATTGTGATTTAATGGTGTAATTTTATATTCAATAAAATTGGCGAAGCTTTTGATAATGTTTTGACGATCATTTCATGCTTGTAATGATAATTTTTATTATTTTCCCGTGTTAATAATTATTATTAATATTATTATTATCCAATTCTAAAATTTCAGTTTTACAAGCAAATAGATTACATTAAATTATTTTTGGATGAAAATTTTTATCTCTCTCTTATATTAATTATGTGAATTTATAGTTATTGTTTTGAATGTTTTGAATGTGAATTGTTTGAATATGAGTGAGAATTTTTTGGTTGAGTAATTATTTGCTTTCACGTCTATAATTTTATAAATCTTGACCGAGAAATAATTTGTGACTATATACGTTTTCGATAACTAATTGCATTAACATTTAAAAATAATTTCTTCATCTATACAAAAATACAAAAAAATCTCCGTAAACCGTTTGCCCTATAACCCATGTTTATTAAATCCTAAAGAAAATCAACTCCTGCGGAAAAGCATTTTCAATCCCATTTACGTATTACGGATTCCGAACAAATAAAACATTTAGGATTTTAGGGTTGAATCGTAAAAATTTTAATGACGGTCATGGAACCGACAATTTGCAATGAAACACTTCGATCAGAAAGTCGTAATAGTTAAGTATATTTAGAAAATAAAACCTATGTTTAATTGCCAATTTAAATTCATTTCCGGAAAGAAGTCAAAACTTTGGGAAAGAAGATTGAGTAGATGTATAAAAGTGGCATTATTAGTTAATTAACATTTTTATTGATTTATAAGTATAATATAATGTTATTGGAAGCTATGTATTCAATTATTGTCAAGAATTGACCAATAAGATTTATATAATTTCAAGTCAGAATAAAATTATATAGAATTCGTCTTTGAAATGAACTAATTTGAAAGAAGCTAAAGAGAGAGTAAAATTATTATAAAAAATATATTTATATTGATGGCAAGGAACAAAATTAATTTATATAAAATAATATTGATGTTAAATTCTTATTACAAACTAGCATTGCATAAATCAATCTATTAAATATTTATTGCGAAACAATCAGCCTTTGCAAAATATAACTCAATGGAACGCGACATAAAATATACAACAATGGCAAAGGCCTTGATATAACTTATAAATGTATTCAATTAAACAATTGCAATATATATATATATATATATATATATATATATTATTGCGAATTGTGCATGTCACAGAAGTCATTTTCCATGTCGTTATCATAAATATGGTGTGAAATTAAGACCTGATTTTAGCTGGTACAAAATCAGAATAAGATATAAAATTATGCCTGCTACAATAAAATACATAACTTTAAATTTTAGAATGTTATAATTCTATACATTTATCATTGAAAACGGATCTGTAGCCTGATAAATAAATAATAATATCAGTTGATTATAAAATCAGTATTGAAAAAATTATATTGTTAGATAAACAAAGAGGGACGCAAAAATGATTTTTTTTTAAAAAAACAAGGGAGCGCGGTACAAAAAGATTGGAAACTACTGACTCAATATATTCATTCAACGAATGTATATAAAAATAAAGTTTATAAAATTTTGATATTTCATTTATAACGTTCTTGCATTTAAGATACCATATGTTATGATTTCCCTAACCTGCAATCCACAACTAGAAATATAACTAGCTTATTTATGACTCCAAATATCTACCAATGATGTATTGAAAAGCCAATAAAACCAGAACTTCCAAACAAATTCATCAAAATATAATAAGTTTACCGTAAGCTTGTTATTCCTAAGTCTCCTCCTAAACACTATTTTAAGCTCGGGGTATAAGAATAGATTAAATACACAAACAAAGATTGTGTTGAGAAACAGTTATTTAAAGTCGTGGTGAATATCAAAGTTATGTGCACGTTCGAAGTCGTAAATCATGCAAATTTTCAAATAAAATATTACTTGGGTATCGAGATATTATTAATTATCGGTAAACCAACACACGTCATGTAAACATGCCAATTATTATGAAATATACAAAGACTGCAGAGTAATTTTAACTAGCTGATCGTAAATTTACTCAGAATTTGCGCAACATTTTCGCAAGCCAAGGTAAATACACAAAAAAGGAAATAAAAGAACAAAGATATAAAGTTTAAATCATTTTTGTTTGAAAGTTTGAACTAATATTAGACTAAACTAAATAGCAAAATTAATTAGATGAAACTTAATACAAAACAAAAATTTCTATTTATTTTTTTTTGAATTTTATAAAGAATTTCGAGAAATTTGGAGAATAGTTATGAGATAAAAATCCACATCATGAAAGCGATTGAAAATTCTTGATACAATTTGTATTCAAAATTGTGTTGTTAATTTAATATTTATTTTGGTAATAATTTTAATCGCTAAATTTTAGAAATATTTAATACACAATACATAATTTAATCTAAAAAAAATATAACAAAGATTTTTAATATTACCGAACAACATCAATCTGATTGTTGAATTTGTTATTTATAATTAGCAATATTCTTTAATACCCTTATTATATTCAAATAGAAAAATACAAACGGACAGAAAAAGAAAGAGTCATTTAAATATTTTTCCTTTATCTTCTATCCAGTAAAAATGTTAATAAAAATCAACTGCATTTAAAAAAAAACAGTTGATGAATTCTTCTAGGTTTTGCGCATTATATAAAAGT